CAACAATAAAAAATTAGATATTTACCGTAGTTTTATTTGTTATTTTATTTTTTCCGAATATTAAATATTGCAGATTGCTTGTAACAATTTTATAAAGGAGACAAAAAATATTAAAAACATGTAGCTCTACCGATTTTCACAGAATTTCATTGAGCATTAAATTCCACGAATCATACTTCTCTTTTCGGTTAGTTCGATTCTCGCAGTCCAAAGGAATATTTTTAACCTTTCGAGATAAATTGTGATTTGTGTGTTGATCTAAAAACAAAAACAACTATGGATTTGAAACTGGACGATGACTTGGATAATGACTTGGACATACGCAATAGTGAACAGGATGGCAACGAAAATTTTACGACTACGGCAATGACAATGGATCACGATTTGAATTACGATTTGGATAATGAAAACACTGCAACAACTTCGGCGATGAACAAGACTTCAGTTAAAGATTACAGGAAAAGTAACAAAAGCAGAATTCATCTCAGTCGGAGAAGAATAAAATATAAAGGGTGCATCAAAAGAAAAGATAAAAAGAAAAATTCAGTTTCTAAGAATAACAGAGATGTTGAAGAAATTTTTAACAACTCTACTGAAACTTTAACTACAAATGATCATGAAGAAATTTCTCATGAAGACTCGAGTCTCAACATCAGAGAAGAACTTGAAGAAGGAATCGAAGAAGAAAGAGTGACAATTGAAGCAAACCAAGAATATAGAATGGAAGGTCAACGGATTGTGGCTATCCAAGATTTCATTAATTCATTGAAATTATTAGGAGATCACAACAAAGACATGGCATGTACTCTAAGCAATATGATTGTTCAAAAAGAGATTAGGAATGGGCTAGAGTCTACATTAATTTTCAAATGCAATATGTGCAATAAAGTGAAATCCATTCAAACAAATAATACAGCAAATGAAACATCAGTCATTGGCATTATGAATATTGGTTCAGGTTATAGCCATTTAGAACAATTAACGTCTGCAATGGATATACCATGTATGTCTAATGCAACGTACCAAAAAATTCAGAACCGAGTTTGTGATTCGTGGGAAGAAGCCGCATTAGAATCAATGATAGAAGCTGGTCAAGAAGAAAAACGGCTAGCAATAGAAAATGGTGATGTTACAGATAATGGAATACCATACATTACTGTGGTTTGTGATGGTTCATGGGCTAAAAGATCATATCGCACAAATTACAATTCCTTGTCTGGAGCTGCCGCCATAGTTGGTTACAGAACACGGAAAGTCTTACACCTCGGCGTAAAAAATAAATTTTGTTTAGTATGCAAAAAAAATGAAAATCATGACTCAATACCAGAACATAAATGTTACAAAAATTTCACAGGATCTTCGTCATCTATGGAGTCGTTTATTATCGCTGAAGGTTTTCAACAAAGCTTGAATACACATGGCCTCATTTATAGGTTTATGATTGCTGACGGCGATAGTAGCGTTTTTAAAACTCTATTAGATTTGAGACCTTACGCTAGTCATTCGATAAAAATAGAAAAAATCGAATGCAAAAATCACCTACTTCGAAATTATCGAAATAAATTAAGAGATCTCTTCCAAAACACTAATTTACCTATTATCTTGCGACGAAAAGTAAAGGTAGGTACCTTATTTGTTAGATAGGCAGTCTCATTTTGAAATACACGGCAATTTTTTTAAAATTGGTAAATGCGGTTTAAATAGTGTTATGTATTATGTATTTCCAAATCACTGTGATATAATAAGTTTCTACGTGACCATATTACTTAAATTTATTAACATTTATAGGGTTATCATCTGAAATTTTCCGGAGCTATAAATAAAGCAATAGAATATAGAAAAAACCAAGATTGCTCTCTAAAAGAAAAAATTGAAAAATTAAGAACTGATATACTGAACAGTCCTAGTCACATTTTAGAAGAACATAAGAAGTGTATTGAATTGCAGTATTTTTGCAAAAAAGTCCATAATGCCGGAGATAGTTTGATGGCAGATTTTAAATTAACCAGTAAGTTTTTCTGCAATTTATTTTAAAACCTCTTTTAAATTCACCATAACGTAATCCTAATCGGGTCCATACCATTAATTAAATGAATATAAATGTACCTATGCAATCAAGTACCCATTAGAGTTGCATATTTGTGCTTTCAAATTTTTTTAAATTAAAAATATTTTCTATTTTTGTTTTTTTTAGATTCACATGACGATCTAATGCACCTTGTCTCTAATATGGCAAAGCATGCTTCCAGTCTCATTCATGACGTAAATAACAATGTGGTAGAGCAATTCAATGCAGTAATTGCAAAATACATTGGCGGGAAAAGAGTAAATTACTGCATGAAAAGATCGTACCAAGCCCGGTGTTCAGCAGCAACAGTGTCTTACAACACTACAAAACCGCTGTATCACGTGACCAAAAAATTAAAAAACAAGAGTCCTGGATTATTTACAAAAAAATGGGAAACCAAATATCGAAGCAAATTATTACGCCAAAAATTAAGAAAAAGTGCGGCTAGGCGAAAATTGTTTAAACGGAAAAATGACCAGGACTACGGTGACCATTGTCAGAAACCAGACTTGTGTGCTGAAGAATACGAAGCAGCAAAACGTACATTTTTAGATATGAACTTCAAAACCGGAACAGAAATACAGATGTTAGAACAACAAACTCGTGGAAGTGATTTGCAAAGGAACAGCCACGTGTGGAAAACTGARAGGAAAAAAAGGGTAACAGCATCAAAATTTTATGAAGTATGTGTGAAAAAAAATAGTACAAGTCGGAAGAGGCTTGTGGAATCGATTATAAAACCTAGGGAAGTAAAAAGTAGGGCACTGGATCACGGAATTTTTTATGAAAAAATTGCTATTGAGGCGTTACGCCAACAGTTAAATATTAAWAAAATTGACGAATGCGGACTCTTTATAAATCAGGAACACCAATACTTAGCTGCCACTCCAGACGGTCTAATTGGGAATGACACTTTGGTAGAGGTAAAGTGTCCGTATTCAGCGAAAGACATGACACCAGAAGAAGGAATTGAAAAAAGAAAAATTACATTTTGGAAGAAAGACTACACGATTAATAAAAGGCACAAGTGGTACTTTCAAATACAGGGGCAGTTATATGTAACTAATCGAACAAAATGTATTTTTGCTGTTTGGACATTTAAAGGACTAAAATATGAAGAAATAGGAATTGACACAACTTTTTGGGATAAATTTATGAAACAGCAACTGAAACGCTTTTATTTTGACTGTCTACTGCCGGAATTGGTAGATAGTCGCCTGGATAGAAATATGGAAA